TAACTGATTTCTTCATAATTAACTCTGACATGTCTAGCTTCTTCTCACTCACTCTTGTTGTTTTTTTTCACTCCAGGGCAAAGAAAAAGATGGTTCCTACTCCCAAGGCCAAGCCAAAGGTTAGACTTTACTTTAAGATCAAAGGGTTAAAGGTTAACTATCACTAATGATGTGATTGGTCGCACTGATGGACCATAATTCCTATAATATTGGAGATTTATTTTTGGAATAAATTACTACTTTTTTTTACTGGGCACATTTTTTTTTTGCTGCTATAGCTCAACGCAGATAATTGTTATATTCTTCCTTACAGTGGCTAATTATACATTTAAACTCTGATCAAGCTCTCCTTTTAGCAACTTTCTCACCCACAGTTTATTACACAGTATTCAGTCCAGCAACACAATAAGGCACAAAACACCACGAACATGAGACACGCGACTAATGGCAGACATGTACTTGCTTTTAACTTTTAACGTACTGCGCATGATGACTGCCTCGCGTATCCTGCATCCGTTTGGACTTTTGTACATAACCTCAGAAATGAACATGTAATGTTCGCGTCCAGCTTCAAGTATATCTCCAGGTTAAGAGGGTGTTCCGGTAGAAGATAGACAATAGAAGGAATCTAAATAGTCTTTAAATGTACATAGGGGCATGATGCGTGATGATATTGAATGGGTTCACATTTTTCCAAGTCTCTCTTTTGACGTACCGGGGTAATGTGTAATAAAGTTTCTAATATAGTTTGTGTACATTTTGTTTTTGTTCTTCCAGGAGGTTGCGTGGGTTCAGCGATCTACACCTTCAGCGGGTGCCACTCCCTCCCCTGCCGCCCAGGTTGCCAAGCGACCGCCTCTGTCACCATCTGAGCCCATATGTCTCGATTCCCTGGACGAGGACCTGCCGGCTCCCTCCCTGGACTCCATCTCCCAGGCCCTGGCCATCCTCGGCAACGCAGCCAAGGGCCTGGCCCACGGGGACAGCCCCCCGTCCCCCGACGCAGCCAAGACCACCGCCAACCCCTCTTCCCTCCACACCTCGCCACTCATACAGCAACAGAAAAA